GCTGGAGTTAGAGTAAACATTGCTAAGAAAGATTTTTCAGTTGATAGGACATGCTTTTGTGGACTTTTAGCTAGGGAGAACACTGTTCTCTTGGATCTGCTTTAGCTGCACCCGATGGCAGTTCCCAGTCGGAGGTATCTGCAACACTCTGAGTGAGTTATACTGCATGTAATAAAGATATACAGGAGACTCCCTACCACGTTGTTCCTCAAGTTCTAAATTTACCAGCCTATCCATTTACTTCATTTCACTATACACAGTGTTCATAAACTTGTTTGTTTTGCTATGTCTGAAGTATTCGTTTGTAAGAGGAAGGACCTGGAAGGCATGGGATACTCCATCTTGTCCAGAATTGGAAGTCTGAGTTTTATTGTTTTAATAATTACCTGCAGAGTTCTTCATAGAGATTGCTTGGGAAATATCTTAAGATTGTTAAAGTAGAAAGAAAGACCCTTAGCAAAAATGTGACAGTATATAAATCTGAAACATAAAGGACAGTTAAGATGCTCTTCTTCTTAAAAGGTTAAAAATAGTATTCTTTGAAGGAGATAAGAAATAACAGAAGACATTAGTATAAATGGAAGAGTATGCAGTACAGATATTCTAGAAGAATTCCCAAGCAGATGAATATTCCATGGACTTTAAAGAACACAGATGGACAATGTTAAATTTGAATTTAATGTCATGGATGTGAGGACAAAACAAGCTGATAACTTTTAAATTCATAGGTGTCTTATTCAGTATATTAGTTCATTTTCACACTGCTGATAAAGACATACCCAAAACTAGGTAATTTGTCAAGAAAAAAAGGATTTGATGAACTCACAGTTCCACGTGGCTGGGGAGGCCTCACAATCATGGAGGAAGGCAGGGAGGAGCAAAGTCACATCTTACACTGTAGCAGACAAAGAGAATGAGGGCCAGGCAATAAGGGAAACTACTTAAAAAACCATCTGATCTTGGGAGGCTTATTCACTCCCATGAGAACAGTATGGGGGAAACCATCCCCATGATTCAATTATCTTCCACCAGTTTCCTCCCACAACATGTGGGAATTACGGGAGTACAATTCGAGATGAGATTTGGGTTGATACACACTCAAAACTTATTATTCCACGCTGGCCATTCCAAAATCTCATGTCCTCACATTTCGAAACCAGTCATGCCTTCCCAAAAGTCCCACAAAGTCTTAACTCATTTCAGCATTAACTCAAAAGTCCATAGTTCAAAGTCTCATCAGAGACAAGGCAAGTTCCTTCTGCCAATGAGCCGATAAAATCAAAAGCAAGTTTGTTATTTCCTAGATACAATGGGGCTTCAGGCATTGATTAAACACACTCATTCCAAATGTGGGAAATTGGACAAAACAAAGAGGCTACAGACCCCATGTAATTCCAAAATCCAGGAAGGCAGTCAAATCTTAAAGCTCCAAAATGATCTCCTTTGAGTCCATGTCTCACATCCAGGTCACATTGATGCAAGAGGTGGGTTCCCGTGGTCTTGGGCAGCTCTGGCCCTGTGGTTTTGCTGCAGGCTGCAGGTACAGCTTCCCACCTGGCTGCTCTCATGGACTGTTGTTGAGTGCGGCTTTTCTAGGCACAGGGTGAAAGCTGACAGTGGATCTATCATTCTAGGGTCTGGAGAATGGTGGACCTCTTCTCACAGCTACACTAGTCAGTGCCCCAGAGAGGACACTGTGTAAGGGCTTCAACTCCACATTTCAATTCCACACTTCCCTAGCAGAGGCTCTCCATGAGGGCCCTGCACCTACAGCAAACATCTGCCTAGGCATCCAGGCTTTTTTATACATCCTCTAAATCCAGGCAGAGATTCTGAAACCTTAATTCTTGACTTCTGTGCACTTGCAGGCTCAACACCACGTAGAAGCTGACAAGACTTGGGGCTTGCACCCTCTGGAGCCATGATCTGAGCTGCACACTGGCCCCTTTAGCCACATTGAAGCAGCTGGGACACAAGGCACCAAGTCCCTAGGCTGCATACAGCAGGAGGTCCTGGGCCCAGCCCACAAAAATATTTTTTCCTCTTTGACCCCTGGGCTTGTGATGGGAGGGGCTGCCCTGAAAGTCTCTGATACGCCCAGGAAACATTTTCCCCCTTGTCTTGGCAATTAACAATTGTCTCCTCATTACTTAAGCAAATTACTGCAGCCAACTTGAATTTCTCCTCATAAAATGTTTTTTATCTATTGCATCATCAAGCTGCAAATCTTTTGAACTTTTATGTTGTTTCCCTTTTAAAACTGAATGATTTTTAACAGCACCCAAGTCACATCTTGAATGCTTTGCTGCTTAGAAGCTTCTTCTGCCAGATACCCTAAATCATCTACATCAAGTTCAAAGTTCCACAAATCTCTAGAACAGGAGCAAAATGCTGCCAGTCTCTTTGCTAAAACATAGCAAGAATCACCTTCACTCCAGTTCCAACGAGATTCCTCATCTCCATCTGAGACCACCTCAGTTTGAATTTCCTTGTCCATATCATTATCAACACTTAGATGAAAGCCATTGAACAAGTCTCTAGGAGGTTCCAAGCTTTCCCACATTTTTGCGTCTTCTTCTGAGCCCTCCAAACTGTTCCAAACTCTGCCTTTTACCCAGTTCCAAAGTCACTTCCACATTTTCAGGTATCTTTACAGCAGCACCCTACTCCTGGTTCCAATTTATTGTATTAGTCTGTTTTCATGCTGCTGGTAAAGACATACCCAAAAATGGGTACTTTGTAAAGAAAAAATAGGTTTAATGGACTCACAGTTTCATGTGGCTCAATCATGGCAGAAGGTGAAAGGCACATCTTACATGGTGGCAGGAAAGGGCACATGAGAACCAAGTGAAAGGAGAAACCTCTTATATAACCATCAGATTTTGTGAAGCTTATTCACTATCATGAAAACAGGATGGGGAATACTGCCCATGTGATTCAGTGATTCCCACCAGGTCCCTCCCACAACACATGGGAATTATGGGAGCTACAATTCAAAATGAGATTTGGGTGGGGACACAGCCAAGCCATATTATTTAGGGTTTAAGCTATTTGTCTTGTGGAAATTATAAAAGGCATGGAATTATTTTCTGGATTGATATGACAGAAAATATAAATAGTATATGTGGAATAACACAAGAGTCATAAGTTGGATTTATCAGAAACAAGATCTCTGAGATGGTCCTGACCATAGGGCTCTAACTTCTTGTCCCTCTGCCACCATCACTTCTGTATTTAATAAAATTTTAAGGAAGTTTAGAAAGCATGACAAGACATGGAAAGCTAGATTTTAATGTAAAACTCAAATACACATAAGGAAAATAAAGATCGATGTATCTAACTAGATCACAGGTTTTATCCTTGTACCTATATACAGAGGAAAAAGTGTGACAAAATAGACATTGAACTCTTTCTTGAAAAGCAAAATACTTATATTATTCAGAGAGGCATAAACATGCATATATTAAAATTGCCTTCAGAAACAATAAAGAATAAGCTAAAATAGAATAATATTTTTGCAAATCATATATCTACTGGAGAATTTTCATCCAGAATACATAAATAAATCTTGCAACTCAAAAATAATAAGGAAACAATCCAATTCAAAAAATAGACAAAAGACTTAAATAAGCTTTTCATCAAGAAAGACATACAAATTGTTATTAAACATTGTAAAATGCTTGCGACATCATTAGTCAATAAGGAAATTAAAATTAAAATGACAATAATATCTTATTATATGATAACCAGAAGGACCATGATATAAAAGATAGTCAATGCCAAGTATTATAAGGATTTCAAGAAACTTGAGCCCTCTTAAATTGCTGGTGCAAATAAAAATAGTACAACCTCTTTGCAAAAGCCCATCTGTTTCTTAACAAGCTAAATATAAGCTTATCATATGACCAACAATTTTTGTCCTAAAAATCTATCCAAGAGAATTAAAATGCTAGATACACTCTCCACTCAAAACTTAATATGCAATGTTTATAGAAGCATTGTTCATAATAGCTAAAAAGTAGAAACCCAACTGGCGAATGGATAAAGAAATCTGACATGTCTACATAAGGGAATACTCTAAATAAATTATAAGTAATACATTATATATCTGGAAGATGAATTGACTTCAAAGTCTTTATGAAGGAAGCAAGACACAAAATACTATGTATTATATGTCTTCATTTACATAAAATGTTCAGAACAAATTTACATAAATAGAAATCATATCTATAGTTACCTGGGGATGGGGATGGATGTGAGGATTGGCTTTCAGCAGGTTCAATGGAAATATTTAAATTAGACCATGGTGGTTGTGCAACTCTATAAACTTATTTAAGTTGTAAATAACTAAAATGTATTGAATTGTAAATAACTGTGTGTGAATATTATGTTTAAATCATACCTCAATAAAGCTGTTAAAATACCTGAAAATAAACGTTAAAGAAAATTGGGCAAGAAAGAGACTCAAAGTTATTTCTAAAACACTTTATGATATAATGCAATTACAATATGGCTCACTCTGTATGCAAATAAATTATAATATTATAACAAATATTGTAATCTGATAAAATTATTATCAGATAGAGAAATAAGTTGTTGCAACACTTAGCTTTATATGCCAAGTACTGATCATTTCTGTGAATAGAAACATTATAAAGACTCAGCCATGAATTTTTCAGTCATTATATTTTGAATATGATATGCTTAAAAGAAGAAAAATGTTGTATTTGGCAATACATTTGCTGAAATAATTACTTTACGGAGTGATCACTTGCCAGAACTCTTAAAAATGTATAGAATGAATGATGCCTACTGGCACATTCTCTGTTAACATTTTTACAGAATTATAAGATATAATGTTATTTTCAGGAACCAAGCTTCAGAAATAAGTTATTACTGGTTTAAGTTACAATCAGCTATAAGAAACACCAGACTGTTAAAATAATTTAATGATTCATCATTTGCATCAACCTATTCATGATCACTTTTTAGTGATCCAGGTTTTGTATTGTTTTTATAGAGCTGCCCTCACATGCTTCAGCAGCATTAGATGGTAAGCATGACTTGTGGAAAAATTATATGAAGTTTGTAATACCATTGTAATATTTACAATAGTGTGAAATATGATGAACACATAGCGTTTATTTCATTTTCCTCCTGAGTACATAGAAAGAACATGTTTCCTAAGTCCAGCTGCACCTAGTTCTGGCCAACAAATTGCGAGAAAAAATTAAAGTAAACTAGCTCTAGATCTCTTTTATAAATATATTCCATAAAGAATCCTGCCCTAGGCCTTTCCTTTCCGGTACAGTCTTGGAGGGGAATGTAAAAGATGGTGGTAATTCCAGATTGAAAGAAACTGTACCCCTTAGTGATTTCATAATGACCCTCTACCATAACTTCCAGTCTCATTAACTATGTAATGATTAGTATTAAAATGTATTATGTTAAGCCATTGAGATTGACAAGGCAGATTTTCTATTACCTTGTCTGCAGAATTCTAACATATTATTAACTTCAACTCATAATAAAATATTACATTGGAAATGCCTGCATATGGCCGTATTTCTGGCTAATAAGTTTACAATTCTTCTTTAGAACTTTTAAAATGATATTAAAATGTTGTCAAATATTGAGTGTTGAGCACTAGCTGTGTGCTAGACGTTGCCCTAGACACTTTATATGCATTCATTTGGATAATCCCATCAGCAATCCAGTGAGGTTGGTGCTATCCTTAACATCATTTTACAAATGAGGAACTTCCATCTAACATTAGACTATGTTTCTAGTCAATGGAATGGCTAAGACTCAAGCACAGGTAGTCTGATTTGGAAGCATGAGCTCTTAATTACTAGGAAAACTAGAAGGGCCATAAATGCATACATGAAATTAGCTTTAAACATTTCATTATTTTATAATTCAAGTATGTATATGATCACCTTACAGTCCTCTAAATAAATACAGCCATACACATAATTTTTCTAGTATCAATAAAATTAGTAATAGCCCATGGTAGTAAAAATCACATAACTAACATAAGAAAATACTTGAATATCATATGCACAGCTTTTAAGTGTTCTCGAGGTTAACATTCACACAGTACCACTATAAATAATTACACATTTACATATCAGTAAATGGAGGCAGGATGAGATGTGATCACTTGTTGGCACAATAAGTGCAGATCCAGGTGGTGTGACTCCTTAGTCACTATGGAATCCAGCTGGTGTGACTCCATAGTCTCTACAATATTCTGTCTACCCTGTTTAATTCAGTGCTTCTTGTCATCAAGTAGGAAACACAATTGTGACTAAAACGACAATTATGTAAACAAAACTTTTTGTAAGAGAATTCTATTTTGTGCAGTAATAAAAATCTATGCCTACGTTTTACACATCTGTTGTTTATCTTTAAGTCAAAAAGGGAAACAACAGACTTCCCAAAATGGCATTCACAGTTCCTTTATTAATCAAAATAGCTATCATAGGTAAAAATGTCATCTAAAATCCTTAACCAAAAAACAAAATAACTTTAGTATTTAATTGCTATACACCTTTAAAGTAGTTTTAAATTAGAAACTCAAGTTTCCTTTACTAGCTAACTTGCTGACTATGTAGGAAATTCCTGATGCATGTATCGGACAGCTTGCTACATGTTGCCATTTGAGGACTGACAGGACTCTTGAGTCCTCAAATACATTCTCACTGACTTAACTCAATGTCTAAATGCCAGATCTAATGCTTTAATGTTGACAGTTAAAATTCATGTATGCTTTCTGGAAATGATACCACTATAAGCAATTTTCAGTCACTTATCAATTAAATTATTAATACAGGTACTGTATTATTTATAAAAGGAAATAGGATCTTTCCAATATAATGGATAGAACTGACTCTTCCTTTTTTCATGATGTATCTTTTATCTTTCACATATACCAAAATAGATGCCCACAAAACAATAATAGTTGCTTTTGCAGAACTTACATAGAGTAAGTCACTTATAATGAAGCCAGAATATAGCCGAAGCATGTAAGAAAACCATGTAAAAATAGCTGAAGCACTTGTAAGAAAGGCAGACTCGGATTAAATACCACAGTAGGCAGCTCTATGGCAGATGAAGAAACAGCAGGAAGAAACTGATTGGAGCCACATATTTCAGAGTAGGGAGTAATACCAAAGGTGAAGATTAAGCTAACTTGAGAAGAGAAATGGGCATAATAATAAACTGTATTTACATTCCAATTTTGTTTAGGAATGATCTTCATGGGGTCATTCTAATGAATTTCAGAAATGTAAACACTACTTGCATCATCAATAATAATACAGAAATTTTAATATAACCTTTAGCAAGTATTCAAAGAACAGGCATATTCAATCAAGCAAAACGTTTTCACTTTCTCCATTAGAATTAACAAAGAAAAGCAACTTCACAGTTCATTTGGTCCGGGTAGTGAAACCTTGAACAGAAAATGGCAGAGTTGATTAAAAAAAAAAAAAAAAAAGAAAAGAAAAGAAAGAAAAGAAAATCGTAGGTAAATCTCAGCATTGAGCATAGATTTAGAATTCTGATACAAAATATTTGCACAAAAAATAAAGCACCTAGCACACTGGAAATTAGATGCAACTTATTTTAAAAATTTATTAATGAAATAAGCAGCATTTCAGACCAGTGAGGAGAACTGAAGAGTACAAAGATATGGTGCTGGGAAAATTGATTACTTATACATTTACAAAAGAAATTTGGTCCCTTCCTGACATCTTATATGAATTCAATTCCACAATGATTAAAGACTTAAACCACCTAATTGCGGTTGGAAGGTAATTTCTAAACAAGACATAAAATAAAACCAAAAGCCATAAAGTAGAAGATTTATTTGTTCAACTACATTAATATTGAAAATAATAAATATGAACATTACAAAGATATATTTACAATTCCCAACTCTCCTAAGATGGGTATTTTTAAAGTAACTATTTTAAAGTAATAAAAATAACAGATTCAATAGGATAATGGACAAAAACATGATCTGTTATTTCATACAAGAAGCACAATGTTATAAAAATATATGATAAAAATAATTTAACTAGAAATTGAGATAAACAAAATAACACGAGATAAACTTTCATCCCCACTCAATTGTTAAAAATGAAAAAAAGATAATTCAAAGTGTTAGTGAAATATGATTTTCTTTCACACGTAGCCACACTTTAAATCAGTAAGCATATGTAGGAATAATGATTTTTTCTTACGAAATATATTTGAAAATGTACGCATCCAGTAATCTAGGAATTCCAGTCATAGAATATTAATATATAAAATCTCTCTTATCTGATGCAGCAGATATATATGATTGTTCCTAGCGACACTGTTAACAATAATAAATGTTAACACAACCCAAATCTTCATCAACAATACAATAGGTAAGTAAATTGTTCAAAAACTAAAGGTAATCTCACGTAGTAGTGGAAATTAGGGAACTACAGACATCTCAAAATATCAATGTGGAGTAACTAAGTGAATCACAAAAAGTCTCTTTACAATATGATTTCATTTACATATGTATGAAAACCGATGAAAATTATTTTTTATTTTGTATAAATTCATAGGGTAAAAGTGCAAGTTTCTTACATGCAAAGATCTTATGTAGTGGTCGAGTCAGGTCTTTTAGGGTATCCACCTCCCAAATAATGTACATCGTGCCCATAAAGTAATTTTTTTATTATTCATGCCCTCTCACTTTCTTACCCTTTTGAAATCTCTGCTTTCTATCATTCCATTCTCTGTGTATATGTGTGGATAAAGGTAATGAAGAACATCAGCTAGGATTTGTGTTAAACTAATAGAAATTGTATATTAACTCAAATAATTTAGAATCTTACTTTTCAATTATAGCCCAGAGATTGTTAATCCAGGAATAGTAGAGAGATTTCACTAAAATTATTTTTTATGCTGGTTCATACTTAACATCGTCATTTATATGCAAGTTCAAAAAATGAATGTTGAAGATCAGCCATCAAGAACACATTCCAGATAGTAATAAGGAGAAGAAGAAGTTAAAAAAATAGAAAAGGGGTTCTCCTAAGAATCCTACCCAATGGTTTTCTCTTAGATCTTTCATCTCAGAAACCACCATTGCCAGCCGGGCCTGGTGGCTCACGCCTGTAATCCTAGCACTTTGGGAGGGCAAGGCTGGTGGATCACCTGAGGTCGGAAGCTGGAGATCAGCCTGGCTAACATGGTGAAACACTGTCTCTACTAAAAATACAAAATTAACTGGGCATGGTGGCACGTGCCTGTAATTCCAGCTACTCGGGAGGCTGAGGCAGGAGAATCACTTGAACCTGGGAGGCAGAGGTTGCAGTGAGCCTGAATCGCACCACTATACTCTAGCCTGGGTTACAGAGTGAGACTCTGTCTCCAAGAAAACAAACAAACAAACAAAAACACAAAGGAACCAACCACCATTGTCTTCAGATGAAGCTAGATGAGTAATTTAGCTGATTTGAGTATCTAGCGCAAATAAAATCAGGACTCTGTACTAGGGGTAAAGAGTGGAGGGAAGTGTATGAGGTAAGCAGCCGCCTTCTGCTCATATAGCAAAATGACAAGGGCATGCAAGAGGAAAGGTAATAAAAAAGGATGAGTTCATGTCCTTTGTAGGGACATGGATGCAGCTGGAAACCATCGTTCTCAGCAAACTATCGCAAGAACAGAAAACCAAACATCGCATGTTCTCACTCATAGGTGGGAATTGAACAATGAGAACACATGAACACAGGAAGGGGAACATCACACACCCACACCGGGGCCTGTTGTGGGGTTAGGAAGAAGGGGGATAGCATTAGGAGATGTACCTAATGTAAATGACGAGTTAATGGGTGTGGCACACCAACATGGCACATGTATACATATGCAACAAACCTGCACGTTGTGCACATGTACCCTAGAACTTATAGTATAATAAAAAAAAAAAAAAAAAGAAAGAAAAAAAATAGAGGATCTTTGGAGACAGGGAAAAGGGACACTTGGTATTTGGAATGCATATGGTTTTTC